TTGCTTATTGTCATTTCTTGTCATTTGCGGCGGTTGCTTCTGTTCCTTATGGGTATTCATGGGTAGTTCCAAGACAAGAAGGTGCCTTTGCCGGCCTCTTTCGAGATGAGGCCATGGCAGGGTTTAGGGCAGTTGCGGCGCTTCAACGATGTCAGTCTGTGACCTGGGTTTAGGGTTTAGGGTTTAGGGTTTAGGGTTTGAGAGCTGTCATGTAGGCCATAGGCAGTTCAAATCGAGGCTGATGCCTGCTTGCCATCTTGAGTCCTCACCCGAGCAGTGAAGTTGTTAGATGTAATTCAGGGCGAAGTGGCACGCATCATGTGACACGACGTGCTCAGGACAGCAGGTAGTACAGCCTTCAGGCAGTACAACATTCAGGACAACAGGTGGATAATCTTGAACCAGAATATGACTTGAAGAAGCAGGCCTGAGAGGCTCAAATCGGCAACTGTACCGGAATGTTGCCTCAAAATATTGGCCAGCCAGGGAGGATCAGCGGGCAACTGTACGTACCAGAATGCTGTCGGAAGAAAAGCAAGCCAAGGAAACCATGTTGCCTGCATGAGCAGGTTCAGCACTTCCGGCCCCGGAATGTTGCGAGGAGGGCAACGGTGACAAAATGGTGCCTCTACATGCACGCCGAAGAGGCTCAGGCCGCAATATAACCAGGCCAGAGAGAGGCTTAGGCCGGCAATTGTACGAGAATATTGCCGTAGCAGGCCAAGGAGGCTCGGGCGGGCAACTGTACCAAAATGTTGCCTGCCGAAGCAGGTCAAGAAGGCTCAGGTGGGCAACTGTGCCGGAATGTTGCGGTAGCGGCCTTGCTGGCAGGTTTTGGCTGCACACCCGGTAAAGGATCGAGGCTTAGAAGGGCTACCCCCTAAATCCTAAAACCTAAAACCTAAACCCTAAACCCTAAACCCTAAACCCTAAACCCTAAACCCTAAACCCTAAACCCTAAACCCTAAACCCTAAACCCTAAACCCTAAACCCTAAACCCCAAAACCCTAAACCCTAAACCTAAACCCTAAAACCCTAAACCCTAAACCCCCTAAACCCTCAGCCCTAAGCCCTAAGCCCTAAGCCCTAAGCCCTAAACCCTAAACCCTAAACCCTAAACCCTAAACCCTAAACCCTAAACCCTAAACCCTAAACCCTAAAACCCTAAACCCTAAACCCTAAACCCTAAGTATAAGCGGTTTCACGCTTGGCGCCTTCGGGGCCCTCTGACAGGCTTGCATTGGGCTGCACAAGCCTCGTCTCACTGCTCTACATTAGCCCTGCACATGGTTCTCGACGTTTTAAGGGTTTAGGGTTTAGGGTTTAGACGGTTGGCGGCCCCCGCTCGGCCAGGGACGTAAAAGCGAAATGCTTCTACAGGTTTTGATTTACGAGACTAAAGCCCGAAACTTCGTGGTTCTATTCGGGGAAAAATCGGTTGCAACTTGCAACATGTTGCAAACAAATCCTATTCCGAATCCTGCAATGCCACATACCCATCTCCCTCGACCTCACCAAACTCAGAACACAAACCCCAAGAAACATGTAATACTAGGCTATACCGCTATACCTTATCTTCTTCCACCGCTAACCAAAACCTTGTGCTCAAACTTGGTCCTTTCGGACTTTCCCAATGCCGAAACCTTACATCCAGCTTACATCTTTGCAGTTAGGTTTTTAGGGACCAGGTGGGGATGTTCGCGTGAGAGTTAGTTGCAACCCGTGTGTGTGGCACTGGTCAGTGGTCAGGTGCATGACAACTTCACGGCTGGCAGCCGCCAGGCTTGACTTGAAGCCCGGCCAGTATCTCACTAGGTAGGCCCTTGGAACATTTTACATTTTCCCTTTTTAGAGGATCATATTCAGGAGTATCTTTCAAGGATTTTTTTTTATGGCCATCCTAGCTCATCTGGTTTGCAGCCATTGATGTTTAATGTACCTACGTCAAGCCTTGCCCTTGAAGGCAGGCTCTGATTCATCTCGCTTTAGCCTCCCAGCGCGCTGGAGCTGGGCAGGTCGACTGCAAGCCGGGGCAGCAGGTGCCCGACGCTGCGCAGAAGGCGCCTTATCGGGAGTTCGTTGTAATCCTGTCGCCTGGCATCCCCTGGTATCCCCTGGTGAATACGTGGAAGGAGGTCCAGGATGATGCCCGTACTCGGATTTCTAAGACACGGATACCAAAGACGTCGGTTAATTAAACGGCTCCGTCACATTTCCGAGACGTTTGACATAAGTCTGCGAGGCATCGTCAGGAGCATTTGTAGATGCTTTGCGCGTTTGGCCATGGGGGTCGCGAAGGTGGCACACGGATGCACGCCACTGCTCCCACCGACGGCAAAATGCAACAGACGAAAGGTTAGGGACTGCCACAAAACGCAGCAGACGAAAGGTTAGGGACTGCCACTCACAGGTCGCAGCTGTTTACAGCCTGTCAGGTGGACTTCAGCGCAACAAACAGCACCAACAGCAAGACAGCCGCATAGTTGCAGCTCCACCATGCGAAGGGCAATGTCGATCTGTGACCCGGCAAGGAAGGCCTAGATGGAGCAGGAACAACCGTGGCAGCGACTACCGCTCAGTTCGAGGAGCAATTCACGGGTACAGGCTGCACAGCCCTCAGTTTCACCAGACCCTCTGCGCCCGCGCCGCGTTTTAGGAAGCACCTCGCAGCCCTCTCAAGCGGCCTAAGCCTAGTTTAAACCCTGAGCCCTCAACCTTCAAGGAACCCCTCCCTGGGTTGGGGCAACCCCTACGCTGTCAAAACCTAAACCCTAATTACACCCTAAACCCCTCTAACCCTAAACCCTCCCTGGGTTGGGGTGGGGCATGGCCCCGATGCGGATCCAGGTCCAGCAGATGGCTCTGATGCTTTGTTGTAAAGTCACACAACAGTCGGGTCTTTTGGTCCCCCTATAACTATGTCCCTGGCTTTTTATAGGAGAGTAACCACGGAAATCCCTAAACCCTAAACCCTAAACCCTAAACCCTAAACCCTAAACCCTAAACCCTAAACCCCAAACCCTAAACCCTAAACCCTAAACCCTAAACCCTAAACCCTAAACCCTAAACCCTAAACCCTAAACCCTAAACCGCAATCTTGAGAACTCACCAGATGCTCTGGGAGCAGGCCGACTCGAGCCACGCCTTCCCGGCACCATGCAAGCCACGGATTCCAGTGCCCTCCCAGGACACAGGGCGGTAGGGGCTTTAGGGGTTTAGGGTTTAGGGTTTAGGGTTTAGGGTTCAGGGTTAAGGTTTAGGGCTCATGGCCTACCAGTACTGAGGCGATTCATGTACACACATGACGTATCCTCTGTGGTGCTTTACTGTAACTTTAGATCCTTAGCCTTTTTGGGTATAATGGGTTTCTTAATAAGGTCGTCTAACAGTTTAATTCATAGCTACCCTACTAAGTGCAGCCAAGTATCATCAAGTGTCTGATTGGGATGATGTTGAACCCGGCATGTGTAGCCAGTTTCGCAGGACTTCTCCAAACAGGTCCGCCCTATGAAGGAGGAGCCATCGCAGGCAAGGTTAGAAGGTTCAGTTGGAGAATTGCTGGTCGCAGGAGCTCAAGAGCAGAACCCTAAACCCTAAACCCTAAACCCTGAACCCTAAACCCTAAACCCTAAACCCTAAACTCGCCACACGCTTGCTGCCATCCTAAGCTCTACAAATGGTTTGCCATGACCGCCCTGTACCACCGGGCCATCATCCCGTTCCTGACCATAGTTTATATGACCATATTTTCTAGCACATATGCACATCCAATCTAATCTCTCTTTCAAATTCTTACTAGACGACTACTGTTGCATAAAGAAATGGGAATCGTAATCGTACTAGCAATGAGAGAGGTGGAATGAAATTGCTCCGTGCTATGGCGGAGGCACCGAAGCGGAAACCACTTCTCTCTGTGCCGCTGAAGGCATCTGGTGGGGCTTGCGCTGTGTCGGCTTCGCTACCATTAGTTTGCATTGCAAGTCTGCATTATTTGTAGTAGTAATGAGTAGTATGATCAGCAAGTTTCGCAATTGGTAGCAGTCGTCGTGGTGGTTGCGGTGGTGGTCGTTTCGGTGGGCACGGTGTTTGGGACAAGTCTTGCTTCTTCGCCGCCATGCTCCCACCCTCTTCACACCCTAGGCAGCCAGCAACACTGGAATCTAAAGTGTCTTTGGGTACGACGACGGTTTCGACCAACGCAGAAAAGGCACAAGCCTGCGACCCTGAACCTGAAACAAGACTACAGCAGTGCAAGCCCAACACGGAAACCGAAGGAGTGCATGACAGAGCAGTCGCAGTATGAGTGCACGTTATTAACCCCCCCCCAGACCTCCCAGGGTTTTGGACAGAAATCAGCGGAATTCCACAGTGCAAGCAGGCATAATGCGATTGTGTGGCTTTCAGCCCTTGAAGTGAGGAAAAGCATAATCACTTACCAACTGTACCTCAGTGGTCGTGGTCGTGGTCGTGGTGGTGATGGTGGTGATGGTGGTGGTGGTGGTCGTCGTCGTAGTAGTAGTAGTAGTAGGGTTTAGGATTTATTTGGGTTTCAAGGATTCATAAATAAGTTCTTTATCACTGGTTTTTTCGGGCTTTCTTTGGGTGTGCATAAGTTGCTTTCTTGTAAGTGTGCATGCGACTATGTTTGGGATTGTACATACAACTTGCAAGGACTGGTTTCTGGGGTTTAGGATTTGGGCCGCAGAGGTGTTAGTTTGATTTAGAGTTAGATTTAGAGTCTCGTGCTTGCGCCGCTTAGGGTTTCATGTGGCGATGTGGCTGTGTCGAAGGGCACATGCAAGAAGCGCGCTCAAGTTTGTAGCTGGGCAGGTTACCATTGAGCTGTTGGGCATATATATATATATATGTGGATGCATATCTCAGCCGACCAACATCATCTGCACTAGAGGTAGAGCGAGTCCACAGCACATCAGTAACTGTGGTGAATTCCAGCGATCAGACCAAGAAAGCAAAGCAGCGCCAGCGGGGCGCTGTCGCACATGAGGGCTGCTGGGTTGTTTCCTTCATTCCATGCAGCTTTCGTACTGCTGATTCCAGCTTTAGCTGAATCCGGCGTGCGTGTGGACCCGGCCACCCAGAGCTTTGTAGACTCCGCGGGGCGGAGTGTGCTCTTCCACGGCATAAATGTGGTTGGCAAGAACTCGCGCAAGGAGCAGGAGCTGTCTGATAAGCAGATGGATGTCATGAAGGACCTAGGTTTCAATGTGGCGCGCGTCGGTTTGAGTTGGGATTTGTATGAGACGAAGCCTGGCAACTTCGACGAGACCTACCTGGACTTTGTGGAAGCACAGGCACGGAATCTTTAGCAGGAAAGAGAGCTTTGTTCAGTTTGACCTTCTGGACACGCTGCGCAGAAATCAGAAACCTTTAGAGAAGCTCAAAACTAAACTCGTCTGTGTTTCAATATCACTCTTCTCTACCTCTCCAGCTTGTCGGCAGCTTTGCAGCAGATCTTCAGAGATGCAACCCTAAACCCCAAACCCCTACAACACTACACCCTAAAACCCGAAAATCCCTAAAAGTGCTAACCCCTAGACCTTAAAACCCTGAATCCGGAGCCCTGAACTAGACCTTAAAACCTTACGTCCCGAGCCCTCAGCCCGGAGCCCAAAAACCTGGTGAGGTGAACGCACTGGGAAGCCGAGGCATTCTCTCGTTCCTGGACATGCACCAGGACCTCCTGACGAAGTCCGGCTCAATCTGGGTATTTTCCAAAAAATTTAGGGGGTACCCTTTGTAACCCAAAATAGTAGAATCCTTATTATGTGAACCCCCAAATGGGTGCACCCCATTTTCGGAAGCCCCCATCTAGAGGGGTTCCATATAGGGCTTAGAAGATCACAAACCCTAAACCCTAAACCCTAAACCCTAAACCCTAAACCCTAAACCCTAAAGCCTAAACCCTAAACCCTAAACCCTAAACCCTAAACCCTAAACCCTAAACCCTAAACCCTAAGGTAGCAAATCAGTGAGGACCTCTTGGCTGCACAGTACTGTGGGCACGGACTACCGGAGTGGCACATGTGGCCATCTGATTCAGATGCTTGGCTCTTGATCTTTCGTCTAAACTCCTTAAGCGGTGGTTATGTAGGGGAGTATTTGTGGGCTTATTCAAGGAGATTCCCTGGAGTTTACTCTAGCTGACCCAAGAAGGTGTACATCCTTCCCAGGGTTATTGAAACAGCTTAGGAGGATTTCCACAGAGATGGGCGATGGGCGTTTCCCAAGCCTGTGGCTGAGCCAAAGTATGGCCCTGATGATCCCTACTCTGGTGCCTTTGGTTGCTTGGTTGAACTATCACAAGGGTTTAGGGTTTTGGTGACAGCAACTTTGCATGTGCTGATTTTTGTTTTAGCACTGTTGGATTGAACCAACTTGACTGTAGCTTCATAACATTGTCAGTTTTTGGGTTGTTTGTCGCCTGTCGACATCACATGCACTGAAGGCTATAGGCGCATACTAGTTGCAAAGAGCAACCTAGGTCGGATCAGCAACTGTGATGAAGCGCAATCTGGTAAGATTGGCTGGGCAGGGATCTACATGACTCGCGCCCTTTCCAATGCAGCCCAAAACCTGTACAACAATGCATCTGGGAGGCCTGATCCCCAAACCCTGAAGCCTTCAACCCTAAAACCTTAGCCTGTTCAACTCAACCCTAGGCGAAAAAGGCCCCAAACCTTCTGTCTAACAATGCACCAGGTTCCTGGACGATAGTTTCGGATTTCTGCTACCGATACCTACTACCTAGCTGAAATTATATTTTCCACGGGTTCCAAATACTTTATGAGATGCATCTGGGAGGCTTGACGCCTTCGCCGACTTCTGGCGCAAGGTTGCTCGAAGATTCCGGGGCAACCAGTACCTGGCAATATATACATAAAGCTTAACCCCATGACACCCCACATACAGCCCTATATAACCCCATAAACCCTGAACCCTTACACCCTAAAACCCTAAAACTCAGTCCCTTACAAACCTTAGCCCCTAAACCCTAAGCCCTAAACCCTGAACCCTAAACCCTAAGCCCAGGTATGTCCTAGCCTACGAGCTGATCAATGAGCCTCTAGCTGGCGATTAGGGTTTAGGGTTTAGGGTTTAGGGTTTAGGGTTTAGGGTTTAGGGTTTAGGGTTTAGGGATATACTTCATCCCCTCCCGTTATTTTGTGGGGTCTATTTAGGGTTTAGGGTTAGTAGGGTTATATAGGGCTGCATAGGGTTTTGTATGGTTACACGGGGTTATATAGGGGGTTTTAAGCTTTGATCTTAGGGGTAGCGGACTTTTTGTTTCCCCGTTTTACCCCACACCCTGAACTACCACCAAGGCCTTGGCTGGGTGATGTCTATGCAGATCCGACTCTCCTGGTACCTTCCCGTGCTGACAAAGTGCTTCTGGCGCCTTTCTATGAAAAGCTGCACGCTGCGATTCGCGCGGTGGACAACGAGACCATCATCTTCTTCGAGCCCGCGACTGGAGGCAACATCTTTGACACTACGCACTACGGTGCAGACACCACTCCGGGCGGGGCTGGGTACCGACACAAGACGGCCCTGAGTTATCACATCTACTGCCCCTGGGTGCAGACAGACATGCCCGGCACATCGTCCTCTGCTCTGAAGGAAAAGGTTTGTGAAAAGTTCAACGGCTGGCAGTTTGGCATCAGAGCAGCGGACGTCAAGCGCTTGAAGGTGGCAGCTATCCTCAGTGAGTTTGGAGCCGTCAATGCAAGCGACCCGTTGATGCAGAAGTTGCTGCTATATCCCCCTTGGGAATTATTTGTTTTTGTTTATATTTTAAAACCCAAGAGGATATTAAAACAAAAAAAAATATTTGTTATTAAGGTTCTAAGGGGAGGGGAGTATAGGCTGGACTTCTCCATGGATTCCATGGACTCCAATCTACACTCCTGGACCTACTGGTACATGCACCCCAGGGAGGATGGCAAGAACCCTGAAGCGCCAGTCTTGGCAAGAACTTTCGCCAGACGTGTAGCAGGGGCGATCAAGAGCATGCACTTTGACATGGCCTCGGGGAACTTCAGTCTTGAGTATGCTGCGGATCCCTCCATCTCAGCACACACAGAGATCCTTAGTAGGTGGTTAGTAGGTAAGCTTTGTTGCTTTTAGGCTGTGTGAATGCCAAGAAACACCTGGCTTCAAGCTTGCTGTTGGGCTCTGAGTTGGGCCAGTAAGGATTTTTGCTAGCCTCCAGCACCACTACCCACATGGGCTGGACTACTCCCTGGAGCCTCCGTCGGCAGGGAAGGTGCGCCAGGCTGGAAGTCTCCTATGGATCGAACACTCAGCAGACCTCCAGAAGCAGACTGAGGTGACCTTCAGGCTGTGGCAGAAGGCGCCGGAGAGCGTCCACTGGGAGCCGATGCTGCTGAGTGTGTAGTAGGGGTTTGGGGAGCAAGATTGTGTGGCAAGGCTGGACTTTCAGTCCTGCGCAAGAATCTCCATGCGGAAGAAAGTTTCAATCCGCGACGTCCGCGAAAGAGGTGCTCATGGTTTGATTCGATGAGAAACTCCCGGACAATTTCGGGAGAGCCATGACTTTCAGAGCAAGCCAGGTCACTGTTATTGTCCTGTCATGATTCAGTTCATGTTTGGGGCATTCCCTGTTTTAACCTGCTCTGAACCCCCTTGATGATCCAACCCTAAGTTAGGGCGCCGTATTGGTTATACCTAATAATATGATTTAGGCCTAGGGCTCCCCATTATGTGACAACCACCCACAGGAATATTGCATGACCTCACTATGATAAACTACCATAGTTCCGGAGTACGAGTCACGGTGGGTATATTTTAACGGTAGGGCTAGAGTGAGAGGCTGTTGCGCTTGCATTCTGTTCCACTGTGTAGCTCGCGTAGAAAGAGATGTCCCATAGGACCCCCAACCCCCCACCACCCAGAAAGACATCCAAGACAAAAGTGCAAGACGTGATAGTGGTAGCAGTAGTTGGAGTCGTCGTAGTAGTCGTCGTTGAAGTCGTGGTGGTGGTGGGGGTGGTGATGGAGTAGAAGCAAAAGCAGAAGCAGAAGCAGCAGTAGCAGTCAAATTGTTGCTATCTTCATGATCATCATAGTTTCATGAAGATACATAGGGTCCCTTAAGAACTACACTACAAAAGCCACCAAAATCACTACATTATTCCCGAAAACCACTGTACTATTCCCTGAGGGTCCCGGAATAACTATACTATAAATAGCCCCCAAAATTACTCTATTATTCCCGTAGGATCCCTTAAGAACTGTACTATAAATAGCCCCCAAAACCCTGCTTGTGCCCCAGGCTGGCAGCCGGGTCCAGCTGCAAGGCTCGCGGCCCTTCGGGCGCCCACGTCAGTCCCGCAGTTCCGTGAGCTCGGCCTTTCCGGTATTGAGGGTTTAGGGTAAACCTTGAACCCTAAACCTTAAACCCTACACCCTAAACCCCAAACCCCAAACCCTTAACCCTAAACCCTAACCCCATTCCAAGCCATCAGTGGTCAACGGCGGAAGAATGCCTGCAGGCCTCGATGGCTTCTTGGCGGACCTGAATGGCCAGAAGTGCACGGTGGAGGCTGGATAGATGGTTGTTGACATGTGTTGGGTCTGTAAAGTGTGTGGAAGAAAGGTTGAAGGTACCTGCTGTTCAGAAGCCAACCCCCGCGCTCACACCTAAAGTTCCCCTCAGACTGCAATAAGCACAGGCATTGCGGCATGGAGAGCTATAGCAGCCTTATTGAGGGTTCCATGGATCAAGTGCAGCAAAAGAGATCTGGCTGTCGAAAGACCGCACAATCCCGTCTCCCATGTTCAAGCACGTCTGGTAGAAATTTCAATCTTTCAATGCAAAAGCCACTCAGTGCCCAAGCAACCCCCCACGAAAGGGCTTCGACAAAGAATCGAGCGCGTACTTCGTGCGCTTGCCATCCAAGCACCTCGAGGATCGATGCCTTCGACTCTTCACGGTTGTTTAGTGGTTTGGGTTTAGGGGTTTAGGGTTTAGGGTTGAGGGTGATTGAAATTCAGCTGTGCATCTGTGTCTGGGCCACGCACTGTGCGAGGGTTAGAAAGAACATCCATCACAGTCAACAACTGTACTCGAGAATGTATCCACAGACGATCTGCAGCCCCCTTTAGTCATTGCAGCCTTGACCGACATTCCAGATCCTGCCAGCACCCAACCTTATCCTACTTACCCATCCTTACCCAACCTTACCCGACTCTACCCAGCCCAACCTTACCCAACCTTACCCAACCTTACCCGACCTTACCCAACCTCACCCAACCTTGCCCAACCTTACCCAACCTTACCCAACCTTACCCAACTGGCAGACCGTGGCCCCCGAGAATGTGGTGCAGTTGTGAGCGGCCACCTGCCGAGATGGTCCCTAGCGGCGCCACTTGGAGGTTCAGGGCACTTATTAACCAGTTATAACTGTACTTCTAACTGTACTTAAAGCCATATCCGGGCTCTTAAGGGGCTTATAAGTGGGTTATAAGTACAGTTATAATTGGTTAATAAGTACCATGAACCTCCAAGCAGCACGGTGATCGGAGCGAGGCGGAAGCTGCCCAACAGCGTCGTGCCGTCGGGAGAAATGCCGTTGCAGCTCTCATGTTGCGCAGTGGCGCAGCGTCAACCGTGCGGCACGCAGAACATAGGAAGCCTGGGTCGGGCTTAGGGTTTAGGGTTTAGGGTTTAGGGTTTAGGGTTTAGGGTTTAGGGATTAGGGATTAGGGTTTAAATTACAATCTGCTGAATGTGAAGTAGCTCGAGTTTAGAGGCAAACGATAGTAGGGGAGCTCGCTTGTGCAAAAGTCAACGAGTCAACAAGCATCCCATTGCAAAGAACATTAGGAGCATGAGGTCAAACGTCAGGTCCTACATGGTGTGTGATCTTCGCGAACAAAAGCGTCCGACTAAGACCCTAAACCCTAAAGCCTAAACCCTAAACCCTAAACCCCCAACCCTAAACCCTTGCGATAACCATAGTAGTTGAGCCCTTGCAGCTGCGCGGCAGGGAGGAGTCGACCCTTCGGAGGCAAAGTGGTCCGCACCTGGAAGGAATCTTTTTGACTGCGCCGAACCATAAGTATTCTACCATTAGTATTCTTAGATGAAGTACCCGATGCTTATAGGGTTTCGCTGATTCCATCAGGAAGCTTTCCAAATGTTCATTTCGTTCGAGGGGGCTTGTTTGGCATATTTGGCCGAGTCGGACTCGATCGCTAGTTGCCTTTTTGCTTGTTAGGGGCATGGCAGAAGTCGGCGGAACTGGAGAGCAAATGAGCCTTGCAGGTTCATCCTCGCAAGGGGGACACACTTCTGCATCTCCTTTGCCAGTGCAGGCTCCCCTGCGACACGTTAGCTACTTTTGTACGAGTTGAGCCCCTGTGCTGCCCCACAGAGTCGCACAGAATGTAGTCACTTACCAAAGCAATACTGAAATAGTGAGAATATAAAATCGTGTAAGAATACGACGAGAATACAAAAAGTCCCTGTTTCTGGATCGTCCTCCAAAGCGCCTTGGCAAGGCCGTTTACAGCAGAGACTGCTGGTCTTTTCAGACGAGTGGCCGAAGCAGTTCCGGCAGCTTTATTTGGCAAGGCCCCGCCCATTTGGTGAAGTTAGGCCGTGTCAGGCCAAAATCCAGTCAAAACGATCCTGAAAGCTGGCAGACTGCACACTTGCATCCCGTTCTTGGTTTTCTTGGGTGTCTTGGTACCTTCTTATACGATTCTCCGGCTCTGCCAATGTTATCTTAGAATCCTTTTCCTTTGTGATTCAATATTCTGCTTGCGCAAGAATCAAGGGCTGGATCTGCTGCAGGTGCTGTACTGTGAACCCTGCGCAGCTGTGCGGCACAACCCGTCACGCTGTGTGAAGAGTAGGTTTAAAGTATCGGCAGCGATGGCAGTTTCTGTGGCTATGCACCTCTTGGCGTTGGTGCATCGACGGCGAGTAGCACGGACCCTCGCGGTCACGCTGCTACTGATTGTGGCTTCTACGTTTCTGCGGCTTCGGCGCCGGCTCCGAGGTGCGAGCACCCTGCCACGGCTTCTCAAGATCCGTGCGCCACAGGTCTATGCGGAAGGTACAGCGAGTACCGAAGTTGCGGCCACCAATGGAAGTGAAGTGACCGCCAACAAGCCAGCCACCCCACCCGCAGCTACGTGCGCAGTGCACGATTTCGCCATTTTCAACGTGGGTGAGAACGTCTTGTATCCTGGTGGTGAGTGGGGTACAGTGGTTGGTATCGATGCAGATGGCGACTTGGAGGTCGTGACTCGAAGCGGCCGAAAGGCCACCTGGTATGGGCCAAAATGCTCGAAGACACTGAGCAAAGGCAACCGAGTCAGATACAGCTGCGGCGAAGTCGCAGAACTTCAGGGTTTTGATGCAGATGGTGACCTCTTGGTCAAAAAGAGTGATGGCAAGATGGCTTCTTGGTACCTCGCTCACACCGAGAGGCTGTTGAGTGCAGGGGATAGCGTCAAATACGTTTGTGGCGAGGTGGCGAGCGTCGTGGGCTTCGATGCCGATGGCGACGTGATTGTCCTCAAGCAGGATGGCCGCAAAGCAACCTGGTTTGCGCACAAGTGCATGTGACAATGACAAGCGCGGATTTTGTGCAAGGGAGAGTCGCAACGAGTCCTGCCTTTGGCAGCTGCGGCCAACATGGCTGTAGGTGACAGTCACGACAACCTTCGCCTAGTTCATCCTAGTTCACAATTCTCCTGCAGCGGGTTTCAAAGAAACTGTACTGACTGGAATCGCTTGGCTTCGTTTCAACGCTGACACTTCCTTATCGAAGTTGAAAAAGGGAGTTCAATGCTCAGTTGTGATGGGAATCGCGAGGCTGTTTTTTCCAGTGCAAGTGTGTTGCCTTGTCGAGTTTAAGGTGCCCCGGCGCGTGCCCCAGAACAGTAAACCCCAGATAAAGGGCATTCATGGGGGCATATTTGTTACAATGCTCGCGACGTAGTTCTCGAAACTAGGGTCGTCCTTGGTTTTCTGGGCGCTGACCATTCAGAACCTGGCGCAGGCAAACGCGAATGGGCAAAGTTTCCTGGCGTTGGCTACCGCATCGCTGAACTTCTGGGTGCTTGCCGCAGAGCAGCTGATGATTTTGTCTTGTCTTATACAGTAGAATGTAATATTATGCGGCTGTACCGCTATGAAGTCGGTATATTGTCATAGTGCTACATTAGCATTTTTTGCTATACTCTTGCCATACGATGATACTGTGATGCTATTATGTTGCTGCGCTATTGTTCATCTTTTCTTGTTTCGGTCATCTTTGCCGAACAAGCAACAAGACATCTGCTGAGTTTTATCGCATCTGTCGGACCTGTCCCTAAATCCATAGCTTGGACTTCCGTGCGTCCTGGGCATAGGCTCAATAGTCCACGCGAATCGCAGAGTCAGAGGCTGTCCAGCTTATCAATTTGACCGCACAGGGGGGACTTTGAGGGGACTTTGAAATTGGGCTGTCCTGCGTGAACAGGGCCATGTTCTTTGTTAGAATCCGCGGATGTGTGGTCTAGGACAATACAATAAAGTACGATCATATAGTATATTCCAATATAGTTGACGATACTATACTATAACATACCATAATATCCTAGATTATGCGGTGGTATCGGAGGACGTCCAGGCACTTCCCAGGCTCGCAAGATGGAGAAAGCTGATCTTTCAGTGCATGCTCAGCTTTAGTGCCCTGGGGGGGGAAAAATTCCACACGCACATGGCAGCCCAAAGGTCTTGAAGCACGTCGCCTTGAGATATCCGGCCGAGATGAAGGTGTGGCCTGCCAGCTTGAGGTTGCATGTCACGAAACACCCCCGTCTTTTTTCTTGTCTCCGACTTCCGACGCGCAGTCAAGTCTGCACAGTGTTTTTGCGTTCCGGGCCCGGCACCGTGAGCCAAAATGGTCTGAAAGTCCACTGTAGGCCCCCCCCCCCCCCCCCTCCTGGCAACTTTGACACAAAATTCCCGCAATTCGGTGCCGCCAGTCGTGTGTCAGATGCATGGGAGGCTTTGATCTGTGCCCAGGAGGCCAGTCTGTTGGTGATAGGGTTTAGGGTTTAGGGTTGAGGGTTGAGGGTTGAGGGTTGAGGGTTTAGGGTTTAGGGCAGCATGCGGAAGAATGCTTCAGGGGATGCGGCTTCAGCTTTCAGAGTATTACTTTCGTGTGCCGGTGGTCTCCATTTCTTTGCGCTCGAAGCTTAAGCTGGCAGAATATTGTAGCAAAGAGCTTAGGGTTTAGGGTTTAGGGTTTAGGGTTTAGGGTTTAGGGTTTAGGGTTTAGGCAGTGCGGTTGTGGTTATATAGGACCAGTGGGTGGGAGTTGCACATGCCATTGTTGGATTCAAGCGCGGAGCCTTTCAATTGAGTACTTGGCACAGGGACCTTAGTATGCCCAACCCCTAGCCCAAACCCTATGGGTTTAGGGTTTAAGATGTAGGGCTTAGCGTTTTTTAGGTTGCAGGGCGTTGCTGTCTTTTGGGAGACAATGGCTGCTTATGCTAGGTTTGTGTTTACGAGGTATAGTGCATGCTGCATGCGATACGTGCGATGTATTGCCGGGAGGCGCAAGGCCTTTTAGAACGACACAGGTACCTTTTCAGAGTAAGTGCTGATTTCGTTTTGGTGGAAATAGTTGATTTCTCGAAGTGCAACGGTGAACTGTCTTGGCAATTTCCAATTGAGTGCTGCGACAACAAGCTGGTTTTCACAAAGAATGACCGTGACAGATCATTTCGTGACAATAACGATGACCTCCAAGACCCGGAGCCCTAAACCCTAAACCCTAAACCCTAAACCCTAAACCCTAAACCCCAAACCCTAAACCCAAAGCCCAAAGCCCAAAGCCCTAAACCCTAAACCCTAAGCCCTAAGCCTAAGCCCTAAACCCTAAGCCCTAAACTACCGACCGGAGGTGAAGACAAAGCACCAAGCAGTAAACCACACCACTTTGGAAACTAATCCTCCGCCCGGGCTGACAGGAACAAAGCTATATCAGACTAAAAGTATGCTATAGTCTACTATAGCATGTTACAGTCTACTGTTGTATGATATGTAGTATCAAGTAAATACTATACAGTATATGGTGCAGAGTCTATAGTCTGTAGTATATGTTCTTGAATAGTACGATGACTATACAGTTTTTGTCTATCGCATATAGTGCATAGTATACAGTATATAGTGTACACTGCACAGGGTATCTTGTACAGTGTACAGCGCATCTTAAAACCTGATCAAGCCGTAAGCTCTGCAACCACACTGTCCACTCATGGATGCTGCGAAGTAGTGTAGCAAGCAGCTATCCCAAGCAAAACCAGGTTCTACTATCTGTTCTCTACCTGAGCAATGACTCTTGCAGACGATGGCTTCCCTGCAGACCGCAAATGCTGCTGTGTGCCGGCATCGCTGCAGAAGTCGGAGATTGCCTTGCATGGGAGCCAATTGGTGTCCATTTGGATTTTCTTCTTTGTCACGGGTGGCGTAACATACCACATCCCGCCTGTCATGCTTCCGACGATCATGCAAGAGTTGCTTGGGTAGCTGTGGAAAGTATTTGCTACTGATGCGCTCGCATTCTCCATCCTGATGTGTCCAAGAAACAACATGTACTAGTTCTCGGGCCATGAATCACCACCAAGGTTTCACACGGACCAATATCACATATCTTGGCTTCCCTCCATCTTTTATTTGGTCAAAGGTGTGTTTACTATTCCTGGCGGATACGCCGTGGACAGCCTGGGCTGTTCAACTTGCCTTCGGGCTGGCGCGATTTCACTTATGTTTTTCTCGGCCCTGTATTCCGTGGCACCGACATTATGGTGCCTTGCGTGTCTTCACGGCATCTATGGCCTTTGCTATGACTTGAGCTCAATTGCCACTGGCACCGTTTTCCTGACATCGTGGTTTGAAGAGCAGAGAGCACTCGCCATATCCATCATGGCGACGGCATTTAGCATGGCTGGAGTTTGTTTCCCACCAGTCATAGGCGCTCTCATCCATCAGAACGGCTGGCGAGTTGCCTGCTTGCTAGGCCCTTTTTTGACTGCGGTGCTGGCTGTCCCTTTGGCTTGTTTCGTCCTCCGCGATGGGCCCCTCCTCCGCAGATCTTGCGAGCAGCGGGGCCACTTGCAAGGCTTGCAGTGCCGCTGGGGCATATTTGAGCTTGCTTTTGCTACTGAAGATTATAACAAGTTGAAGCAATCCTACCGTGAATGAGGCTATAGAAGCTTAGAGTGCCCCTACTTGGAGGTTCATCTGCACTCATGACTAGACTTATCACAATATTAGGGCACTTAAGTAGAGCCTGCAAAAGGCGACGGCCAAGGTGGAGACCACGAGCACATGCCACTCAGCTTCTGGCGGTGCCTTCGACTTGGAGCGGTGTGGCACCTTGCTTTGCTCTCTTTCTGCGAGCTGTGCCCAAGTTTCCCGAGTAGAGCGCAGTTCTTCTTGCTGAAATGATGATACAATAATGAGGGTACTAGTCAAGTGGTCGTAATTGTTAGGTGCAATCTTTGTTCCCCAGATCTGTGAGAACGAGGTACATCATCATGGCTTTGATCAACAGCTTAGTTCTGTACCTGCAGGCAGACGTCGGCATGAGTGTGCAGCTCTGCGGCTTCTACACCTCCATCGTGTTTCAGGCCTCCAGCGCTGGAAAAGTCATAGCAGGCGCAGCGATGGACTCGAGGCAGGTCCTTACCGGTGTAGTGAGCTGCACCACGCTTCTGCTGGGCACGCTGCTCCCTTTGGACTTCCCATCCGGGGGCCTGAGGGTAACGTCCAGCCACTCGCAGCTCCTGGTCTTCGCGGTGATCTACGGGCTGGGCTTCGGGGCCTCTTACTCGGTGCTGATGTCCAAGCCCGCCAAGATGTTCGGGAAGATGCCGGAGTTCAGCAAGCTCCAGGCATTTCTCATGCTCTTCCAGGTCCTCGGCGGCTTCTTCGGCACGCTCATCACCGGAAGCTTGGGCCTATAGGTCCTCCTCATCTACTTGGAGGTTCATGGTACTTACTGGCCAATTACAACTGTACTTATGACCCACTTATAAGCCCCTTAAGTGCCCTAATATGGTTTAAAGTACAGTTGTTTGTAAGTACAATCATGAATGATGTGTTATTATTTGGCTAATAAGTGCCATGAACCTCCGAGTAGACATCCTGAACCCCAAAAAGGCCCGGCCCTAAACCCGAGAGGCATCATTCCATATGGGTTGGCGGGGTTGGGGTCTTGAGGCTTATCCTTTAGGGTCTTGCTTCGGGACGACGAAAGGGTTCAGGGTTTAGGGTGTACTTCAATCTTAGGGTTTAGGGTTTGGCCATGAACTGGGCGGGACTTCGAAGGAAAGCTACGAGCAGCAACTGGAAGCTATGCCGCTGCTTTCCATGTCTTCATCGCCATGGCCTTCTTGGCTTTTGTGAGTTACATAGCTTTAGAGATGTCCAGCACTGCAAGGAGATTGCGGCATTTCTGACCCCGAGCTCTTTCAGCCCATATGAAGCAGGGTTTATATTTCTATTACTGGTGAGTGTATATAAGGTTCCTTTTTTTCAATATTGGTGAGTGTATACATTGGGTGTCCTTTGGGGGTACAAGAAATATGAACCCTACTTCACATCGTGGAGCAAGACGCAAGTTTCGGGTTTCCCGGTTTTTCCCCGAGGAGTCTAGGGACAGACTGGCTGTCTTCGAGGAGCACAAGGCTCCTCATCGCCAGGCTGAGAATCAAAAGCTAGACTTCTCAGTTTAGGGGTTAAAAGGTTTAATTTCTACACCCTAAGCCCTAAGACCCTGCAGTCTTCAACCCTAAGCCTTCGTGACTTTAGTCCGAGTCCTGGTACAAAAAAGCCCGCTGAGTGCCGGATCATGTGATCTCGCCCACACCCGTAGGCTGACCACGGCAAGCCTCCACTGCGGCAGCTGCTGCAAAGCCTGCCGCCTCCGCGACAGCCAGGCGACGTTAAAGCGACAGTGGGCTCAGCCCTAAACCCTAAACCCTAAACCCTAAACCCTTAACCCTTAACCCTATGAACCCTAAACCCTCAACCCGAAACCCTAAACCCTAAACCCTGTTGGGGGGTTTGGCTCGTTCTGAAGATCAGCCACGTGTCATTGCAACCCCAAGACCGACGTGGCAAGCTGCAAAGGACTTCCGCAGCCTGCCAAGATCCCGGAGCACTTTGCCGTGGCTTCCATGCTAAGCTGCTGCCTTATGCGGGGGTTTAGGGTTTAGGGTTTAGGGTTTAGGGTTTAGGGTTTAGGCTTCTTGGGGTCCTTAGTATATGGGGATCCTACATACCAGAAGGCATAGGCAACTGGCACTCTATTCACTGGCTGCCGCGAAAATTTACTGGTAGGACCTTGTAGGGGTCCGCCCCTTTGAAGGTAGCCACACTTGGAGGTTCATGGTACTTTTTACCCAATTCTAACAGTACTTAAAAGCCCCTTAAGTGCCCTAATATGGTTCTAAGTACACGCCTCTCGAGAGCAAGGATGCTGTTGCCCGTGAGGACATCAAAAAGTGTCTGCATGTTTCTGGCTGAGGGGAGCTCTTTCTTCTTTGAGGGGTACGTAGGATGGCCTGTAGTGACTGTAGTCGTTTAAGTGCATGACTTGTGCAGCTCCGCATGACACCCTGAAGCACCACAAGCTGCAAAGGAAGCAGCTCCAGAGTTTGTGTGAGTCGCATGCTTTCTCTCTGCCGGCCGGTGGACCTAAGCGGAATGTAGATTGTGGAACATAATTATTTCTGCCGACTTCCTTCCTAGACACACTCATCATCTGCTGCTATGCAATGTCGCAGCCGCGACCGAAGCCGGAGCCCCCGCAAAGCGGCGCGCGCAACTGAGACCTGCTGCGTGCTGGAGGCCAGCAAGGATGCGCACAGATGGGCAGCTTATGAGTGCCACTTTGCAAAGACCACTTTTAGGTCAGAGGCGAGTCAGGTGCGGACTCGCGTGATTGCGAGCCATGGGCAGTGCCGCACCTTCATCCTGTGCGAGAAAGGACAGGTGCCGAAGAACATTCTAAAGGCCAAGGATAGGAAGGAGTTGGTGCTGGCAGCAATGACTGTCAGAATGAATCCTTATGCGAAGTTCGCGAAGATGTGGGCGCAGGTCCTGCACATGAGTGCCTGGGAGGAGCGCCAAGGCCACGGCAGTAAGTTGGTTACGGCTGTAGAGGAGCTTTTACGCCAGGAAGGTGTTGATGTCATTGTTTCTTACCCCGCGCCAACCCAACAAGCTGAAAGCTTCTGGAAGAAAATGGGATATGTGAGTCAGGATCCGAGCCTTCTGCCTGATGAAGAGCTGATTCCGAGATGGAGAGGTGGCCCCCTGTGGCCAGAGCAAAGCCTATCCGGGGAGGCCTTGGAGCAGTGGGAGAAGAGGCTGTCGGTCGGCGCGCTGCAGCCCCGGGAAGAAGCCATCCGGACGAGACCAGGTGGCGATGGTCGCAGGTATCGCGAGTTGGTCTGGAGACCCAAGGATCTGCGGAAGAGGCAGGCTTCGGAGGTCATCATGAGTGCTGAGGAGTTGCAGAAATTAATGGCGGCCCCATCGGCCCCGGTCCGTCGCCGGATGAGGGGAAAGCAGCCTTCTTTGGTGGTGGGGGGAAGTACGGCCCAGCTGCCTTGAACGTTTGACATCTGAATGAAAGCCAATGTGCAAGCTCTCTGGCGACGCTCGGTGCAAGCGCACAACAACAGATCATGCAGGTGTTTGCAAGAGAGTAGCCCTGAGTAGCCCAGTATGTTTCAAATTTCAAGTGCCTCTCGAGAGCAAGGATGCTGTTGCCCGTGAGGACATCAAAAAGTGTCTACATGTTTCTGGCTGAGGGGAGCTCTTTCTTCTTTGAGGGGTACGTAGGATGGCCTGTAGTGACTGTAGTGGTTTAAGTGCATGATTTTGTGCAGCTCCCCATGAAACCCTGAAGCACCAGAAGCTGCAAAGGAAGCAGCTCCAGAGTTTGTGTGAGTCGTATGCTTTCTCTCTGCCGGCCGGTGGACCTAAGCGGAATGTAGATTGTGGAACATAATTATTTCTGCCGACTTCCTTCCTAGACACACTCATCATCTGCTGCTATGCAATGTCGCAGCCGCGACCGAAGCCGGAGCCCCCGCAAAGCGGCGCGCGCAACTGAGACCTGCTGCGTGCTGGAGGCCAGCAAGGATGCGCACAGATGGGCAGCTTATGAGTGCCACTTTGCAAAGACCACTTTAGGTCAGAGGCGAGTCAGGTGCGGACTCGCGTGATTGCGAGCCATGGGCAGTGCCGCACCTTCATCCTGTGCGAGAAAGGACAGGTGCCGAAGAACATTCTAAAGGCCAAGGATAGGAAGGAGTTGGTGCTGGCAGCAATGACTGTCAGAATGAATCCTTATGCGAAGTTCGCGAAGCGAAGATGTGGGCACGGCAGCAAGTTGGTTACGGCTGTAGAGGAGCTTTTACGCCAGGAAGGTGTTGATGTCATTGTTTCTTACCCCGCGCCAACCCAACAAGCTGAAAGCTTCTGGAAGAAAATGGGATATGTGAGTCAGGATCGGAGCCTTCTGCCTGATGAAGAGCTGATTCCGAGATGGAGAGGTGGCCCCCTGTGGCCAGAGCAAAGCCTATCCGGGGAGGCCTTGGAGCAGTGGGAGAAGAGGCTGTCGGTCGGCGCGCTGCAACCCCGGGAAGAAGCCATCCGGACGAGACCAGGTGGCGATGGTCGCAGGTATCGCGAGTTGGTCTGGAGACCCAAGGATCTGCGGAAGAGGCAGGCTTCGGAGGTCATCATGAGTGCTGAGGAGTTGCAGAAATTAATGGCGGCCCCATCGGCCCCGGTCCGTCGCCGGATGAGGGGAAAGCAGCCTTCTTTGGTGGTGGGGGGAAGTACGGCCCAGCTGCCTTGAACGTTTGACATCTGAATGAAAGCCAATGTGCAAGCTCTCTGGCGACGCTCGGTGCAAGCACACAACAACAGATCATGCAGGTGTTTGCAAGAGAGTAGCCCTGAGTAGCCCAGTATGTTTCAAATTTCAAGTGCCTCTCGAGAGCAAGGATGCTGTTGCCCGTGAGGACATCAAAAAGTGTCTACATGTTTCTGGCTGAGGGGAGCTCTTTCCTCTTTTGAGAGGTACGTCGGATGGCCCGCAGTGGATTAAGTGCATGACTGGGCTTGCTCTTCGAAACCCTAAACCCTAAAGCCTAAACCCTAAACCCTAAACCCCAAACCTCCAAAAGCGCGCGTCCCAGGTCCGGATGCCGCAGGCCCTGCCCCCCCACGTCGAGAGTTGTCGTGTGTCTTGTGGAGGGCACATCTCACAAAAAGGAACAGAAACTTCTTAACTAGGTAGGCCCTTCCGGGACATTTTGTATGTTGCCTTATTGGGTTTAAGAGGGTCATACTCAGGAACATCTTTCAGAAGGTTTTAAGGGCCATCCTAGTTCAGTCGCTTAAACAGCGTGAGACTCTTGACTCAAGGGATCTCAAGTTGCCAGGCACCTCTTAAACCCTAAACCCTAGCCCTAAACCCTACCCTCTGCAAGCCCTTGGCATCCTGAAACCCCTCTTGGTATAAGCCCTAAACCCAAAACCCAAAAACCCTAACCCTAAACCCTAAACCCTAAACCCTAAACCCTGAACCCTGAATCCTAATCCCTAAACCCTAAAGCCTTACGTGCAAGATGTGGGAGGGCGTGTGCCCTTTGCGGACCTGGCCTTCGACGTCACGGCGGGCCCGGATACCCACAGCCGGTGGCAAGCTGAGCCGGGTTCTGCTTCAAAGCTTGGGCTTAGGGTGTAGGGTTTAGGGTTAAGGGTTTAGGGTTTAGGCTTTAGGGATGTTTAGGGTTTAGGGTTTAGGGTGTGGGGTTTGGGGTTTGGGGTTTGGGGTTTAGGGTTTAGCGTTTAGGGTTTAGGGTTTAGGGTACAGAACGTGGCTACCTGAAGATGAAGGGATGCTCGATTTTGAAAAAAGTGGCAGAGCCGGTGGCAAGGTTCCTTGCCCACCGTGTGGTCGTTGGGGCACAGAGTCCTGTTCTTCTGAAGGCGGGATGAATTCGAAATAATTCTGGTAGTTGACTATATATTATATGATATCATATTATATTATGTTATGTTATATTATATTGTATTATATTATATTATATGATATTATAATATGTATATAGTACTATATATATAATGTGCACCTAGCCAGTGGGATTCAACGAGCCTCTCTGGGTAGTCCTGGGGTTCCCCCGCTCCGCTCCCGCATGCCTGAAACTTGTGCCAGGAGCTGGAGAGCCTACCCTTGGTGGAGTTGCCGCAGGCAGCGTTCCGTAGCCCAAAGCAACGACCTTGTGCAGCAAAAGCTTTATGATCTCAGTAAATTGTATAGTAATATAGTAATCATATAGTAACCATACTCAGAATAGCAACACTGAGACAGTCAGCATACTGTGACTAGAATGGTGGTAAGAATGTTGTAACACAAGAAGGCGGGGAGTCCCTGGCTAGCAGTCGACCGTCTTGCACCTGCACTTGCTTGCACTGCTGACGGTCCAACTGAGAGGTTGCTGCTTTCTAAACCCTAAACCCTAAACCCTAAACCCTAAACCCTAAACTTTAAACCCAACACCCAAAACCCTGACCCAGGAAGGCATCACAGCGTCCATCTTCAAGGTGGACCGCCGGATCTCCAAAGATGTGTGGAGGCATCCTTCGGAAAATGTCATGAAAAGGTTCTTGTGTAAGCAAACACCGGTTTAGGGTTTAGGGTTTAGGTTTAGGGCTCGTAGGGTGCAGAGTGCAAACACTACTGGGTTTATGAAAATAAGGGATATAAGACCCCCCGTACGGTACCCCAAATGTGCACCTCAAGCCTACATACTGCAAGGCCCCCCAAAATCCTAAACCCTAAACCAAAGGATGCTGCACAGGTTTTGGCGAATCGCATCCAAATCAAGGAAGTGACCGTTCCTTTCAAAGACCCGGAGAAATACTGAATACAATTTTTTGCTTAAGAGGCACCCAAGTACAAAAAAACGCTCTTCCTTTTTCGGACAATATAGGGATTATTATTCTTTAGGTTTTTGGAGGGTCCTTTCTGTAAGCAAAGAGTAGATAAGGGAGACCAAAGGGAGCCCCCGAGTACATTGGCTGTGTAGTACTGCCGAGTCAAGGTTCCTTTATTTGAGAGCGCGAGCTGCCCTCGTCCATTGGTGTTAGAACTTGTACCCGGCAACACACAAGCTTCAGTTCCAGTATATATATATATATATGCATATATATATATATGTATATATATTCAGGTCATAGTGCGTTGGGTCCGTTCGGTTCATACTTGGGCTGCGTGTGAACTTTGATCTGTTGACCTGCTTTGCCTTTGATCATACACTGCCGGCCAGAAGTGTGCTCCAGTTCTTCTACACTGGTGTGGTGTGCAGGCCTTAAGAATCAAGCTGCTTCCTCAAAGCGCGTTGTGAGAAGTCCTGACAGTTCAACAACGTTTTTGCCCTCGCATCTCGAGAGTCGTTGGGTAACAGAGAGCCTAACAGCAGGGCCTCGGCACAGTCGAGTCATCAATCTCAAGAGTTTCAAGGCACTGCCCCTTTGCCAAAGATCCTGCCAAGCTGGTGCGGCAGCCCAGAAGTAAGGGCCAGACCCTGAAAGGCAAGAGTAGAGGAATGTGGATCTGTAGGCCATTTCATACTTTCAACTTTCAGCTCCTCGTGTCTCTGTGCTGTCGTCGTTGCAGCCTGTCCTCTTTAGCCTTTCCCCCCCCCCCCCCCCCCCACCAGTTTGTTGAGGCTTTGACGTTGCGGGATGTAGTTGTCGTGGCATGTGATGTGATGTGCCGTTAATTTGCACACCCTCAGAAGGAGGTGTTGGCCTCAGCCTGTTCATTAAGGTTTAGGCTTAGGGGTCAGGGTTTAGGGGTTCTGCCAAGCTGGATTGTTCCTGACTTGGGATAGTGTCTGAAGCTGAACTTCCCTGAGCAAGAGAAACATGGCTGGACCAACAGGCGTACTAAGCAACCTCTTACAGCTTCGTGGCTTGTTAACTTAATGACGGAACGACGCCGGTGACCACAAAGAGCAAGACACGCAACTCTCTTGACGCTGCGCCTGCAAAGTCCTGCAAGTCGCCAGTGTCCAAGGTGGAGCTCTTTCGCGCTGCTGCCATCTACAAGTTGCCCAAGGCACTTCTGGACTTGGCACAAGCTGCCGGGGCCCTGGACTTCCTGACACCAGGACAAGCTGTAGGCACGGCCACATTCATGGGTTGCGCCTTGAGCAAACCATCTCCGATCAGCTTCGACCCCAAGCATCCGAGTTCTTTTGGTCTGTTGGCTCAGGCACTCTTCCCTCTGCTGCCTTCCAGCCCAACAAGTTTAGCTCTCGACGCTCGCCAGCAGATGTTTTCCTTGGGCTGGCGCTCGGTGAGATCTGACAGCGGCCTCTGATCTACCGTGCTGTCAAATCTGCCATGAATGCGTTGCGGCGGTGGCTCCTTCAAATGGGAGCACATGCCGGTCAAGGCAGAACACGCCATTGTTGCAGCATCAGCTACGTACATAAGCTTTCGAAGCTCCTCCCAAGCCGAAGGAAGTCTTCTCCATCAGCGCGGGTACCAGTGGCGAAGGCTGCCGAACATGTCTGCTGCGTCTGCTTACCTGCCTTTCTCAGAGACTTTGCCTGCTCAAGTTGACAACAAGTACCGTCGCTGCTGTTTCCCCGTTCTTGCCAGGCGTGGATGTCTCGTCACTGCGCGAGGCGTCGACGTTTGTGCTCTTGAGCCTCAGCTGCGAGGATGCCTTTGCTGGCTCAGGGTTTCAGGATGCTTGATGCAGTCTCAGTCAGGCGGAGCGCGCATTGACTACGCAACTTCTGTGAGCCCAGCACACTCTCAGAAACTGTCCCTGCCTTCTAAGGAGCCATGCCCCGCAAGTGTTTGCTGACCTGCCGCCAGAGACTGTGTGCGGGGGCACAGCTTCGAGATTCTTGAGATTGGCCATGACTATTGGCCATTCACACAGCTGTTGCGTGGATGCTGATCGCGTTGTGCGCAGAAGAAAGGCTGCTTGATGACAATGAGTGCGCAGTAGCATCGCAGATTGCCATCCTGTGCAGGCACCGCTCTGATTTGTCGAGGTCCTGCGTCATGTCTTCGTCTGTAGATGTTCAGCAAAGCGATGTCCTGAAATGTTTCTGCATGATAGCTTGTCCCGGTGTTGAACTCACAATTACGCGCTCGAGGTATCTCGAGGCCATGTCGTTCCCGCTTTTGTTCAGTTGGCTGTTCCGGGTCCGCGTCGCATGTGCAACAGGGGTACTCCGTGGGTAGCGTCGGCAGCGTAGCTTCAAGGCACGTGAGATGGTCAGTGCGCACACGACGATTTCGCGCTCTTAAGTCACTGAAGCTCTCTTCAGTTCCAGGTCGGGCGTTCTGGTGGCCGGCTCAGTGCAAGTGGCTATGCCTCCCAGATGCTGCAAGCGAACATGCTCTGTCTGCCACCAACTGCCCGTTCCATCAGTCCAGCTTTCGTAGCTTCATGGCCGCTGTGAGGGTGCTGAAAATGGATTGCAGGAGCGGCTTCTAGCGACCTCTGAGCAGGGGATCTTTGCGGCACAGCAGGAGAAGAGGTCATAAGCTGCAACTGCAACTTGAAGGTAGCACCCTAGATCCATGTGCGTGGCGGATCCAAAGTCGAGCCTGTACAAAGAGTCAACGGCTCTGAGAAGTTTCGGCTTCCAACGAAGAGGTCTTTGGCTGTTCCGGCCCCTTAGTTCCAGGGCCTCAATCGATTACCAGGGCCGATCAGAGCTCCCCTGAGAATTCCAGCGATGGAAACACAACGATACAGAGAAAGCAGGATCGTCTTGTTCTTGAGCCGGAAGCCCCCCACACCACGCCCCGAAGCGCTGATCAGCCCAGTAGAATTTGCCAGCTGACTGAGGCTCGGCAAAAAGTCAGGTCGGTTGCCCATGAGGCTGTGAACCTACCGGAAGCTTCAAACTGCCAGAACAGTACAGAATATGTTTCATCCGTCAAGGACGGCTGTGAGCATGTCTGTGCCTTTGTCATGGGGTCGGAGCACCTGTCGAATTCTTGTTCTGCTCGACAGGCTGTTAGCAGCAGATGAGCCACATATTTTTCCACTTGCAACCACCCACTCAGTATCCCTTGGTTACACTGCTACACCAGCCTCATGATAGATTCACTCGCACACTCTTCGCCAGCCCACTCCGCAGCCCACTCGCCAGACTTCTGAGAAAAAAAGCAGCGCAGACTGATCCTGGAGTCTTCCTTCTCACCTGCTGGCCTCAATCCTGCGGCCGCAGCACGGCAGGACTGTGCTGGGAACTTGTGCCCCCCCCTCGCAATTAGTCGGGAACCGCTCCCTGCTACTGTAGCTCAGCAGCTTGCACAGTCTCCAGAAGTCATTATTCACTTCAGGTACTGCCCGACGACACCTGTACTCGCGCACATCTGCCGGTGTAACAAACTAAACTTACTTCGATCATCCCAGCCCTTCAGCTACCTGATGTGGAGGCCATCCTGCCGTTTTCAAACACGTAATCACGGGTACTTCGACGCAGCCTTCTGCCGCGCGACTCTCCGCGGAATTCTCTGAGGGTGGACACTTCTGGGATACTCGGCGGGGACTCACTGCGGGATTCTCTGAGACCAGTCGACTCCAGGTACCAGGCCCAGGAGACAGGGACACCGGGCGAATCCAGCAACCCTCGCAGAAGAAAAAGAAAAAGAAGAAGTAGGAGAGGAGAGAGATATAGAGAAGAGAGACAGAGAGAGACACAGAGTGAGCGAAAAAGAAAGGTCTGGGGAGGGCGTGTCCCCGAAGCCTTGAAGAAGAAGGACAAGAAGAATAAGCAGAGAGGGCGAGAGCGAGCGGAAGTGGAGGCCCAAGGCGTGGAGAAGGAACCAGAGCAGGAGCATGGAGAAGGAGAAGAAGTAGAAGCAGCAGAAGAAAAGAAGAGAGGAGAGGCGAGAGGAGAGGAGAGGCGAGAGGGGAGAGGCGAGAGGCGAGAGGAGAAGAGAATGCCATAGCCCACCATGTCCTCTGCGCAGCAGCGGCTGCTGGGGCAAGTGCAGACATGGCGGGGGGTGAAGATGTCATATTCACACAAAAGCGGCCTTGAAGGAGACAGCCATGCCGGCACGCCCTCCGATCTCGATGGGCATGTGCGCGGGATGCGATGTCGGGATGTGTTCGAGAATCCCTGCACAGAAAGTTGCAAAAATGCAGTTCTCATGACCGTCTTTTCACTTCGGGGTTTCAGAGGTACGACCCGGACAAACACCGCGATCCATCCAAGATGTCCATCGTCGCAAAAGAGAGCAAGGCCTGGCCATGCAGGGAACTTCTTGGAAGTAATAATAGTAATCATGGTCATAGTAATAATACGAAGAGTAATAATAGCAATAATAGTAATAATGGTAATAATAGTAATCATAGTCATAGTAATAATACTACTAGTAATAATGATAGGGTTGATAACAAAGGATTTGCGCCCCCGCTGCAGCCAGGCTCAGGAGCTTTAGCCGAGCTTTGCTACACCGGTCTTAGTTCTTCTGAGGCTGCGCCGTCTTCTGCAGCCTTCGCCCCGCTGTCCCTTTCGACAGTTTTGAGCGGCTATCGCCGCTATCGACTTTGGCAGCTTCGGGTTTCCCATCCTTGACGCCCGGACACCGGCCGAAGAAATGAAGCAACTCATGGCTTGGCTGTTTTGCAGCCTGGCCTGTCTCATGGTTTCTACCTACAAGTTCAGCACGGAACCTACGAGTCTCACGAATATCACGGATGACCAGGAATGGGTGGATGATATACCAGATGACAACCTCGAGCGCCAGTATGGACCTCATGCAGATCTGTCCCTGGCTTTGACGATGACCATGATGAATCTGTCCACGTTTTCCGGGCAGATCAATTCCAGGGACAGGCCGCAGTCCCCGAACAGTACCCACCGCTTTGGCGTGGATCCACACGCTGATAAGTTGATGCTTTATGACAAGGTGAAGGGCTTCTACAGCGTGCTGCACGAGGTCATCGGTGAGAACGCTTCGCTGTACTGCCCGTGGAATGCGGAGCGGTACATTGCGGAGTGCATTGACATTGCTGTATGCCTCGTCCAGCGTGATGTGCCCGCATTCATGTCGCAAGAAGCATATGCCTCGATTCTGGAGCAGGTGACACGTTTCCCGATCATCTGGGAAGCGATCAAGTATGGTCTGGCATCAGAGGATTCGACAGAGATCTCTGGCCCAGACTTCGATTTGCCAGCAGATTTCGTCTGTGACGAGAACGACCATTCTCATGACCATCCTGCTCTTCTCCAAGGCAGTGTGTCGCAGACGTTCGCTTTGTCCACGGCCATGCACAATGCAGCACGCTCCACACACCAAATCCTGGCCGAGCATGGTGCAAACTCTTCACTGGATCGCACAATCCAGCGTTTTGAGAAAGCCTGGCACCCTGTTTGCCATTTGCTTGGTTGCGACCATTCCAACTTCCTGGACATCTACTTGGCATCGCATAGCCACACCATGGCGTTGATGTCAGAGGCTTCCGTGTCGCACCTGCATTCTCATATCCGAGGCCGGCAGAAACTGCACCTCGCTATGGCCCGGTTCACACAGGAGCATGGGGCATCCTTCGCAGACAGGGTGTACAGGAGCGGTACGCAGGCCAAATCAGAGGAAGCCTTCCGCCGGTACGGCCATGTCACTCGCGAAGCCGTGCGGGACCATCTCCTCCCAATGACCGTTGCGATGAACAACAAGACGAAGGCTCTCCGACTTGTGGACCAGGTCGAGTTCGCCAAGTTCTATGCGGCCTGGAAAGAGAGTCACGGCAACGAGACCGGCAAAGAAGTGGCGCCTTGGCTGAGCGGATTTTCGGAGCTTCAAACAGTTATGCGATCGAGAGGTTTCGAGCTTTTAACAGTTATAAGGCCTTTCGAAGTGTGTTGGAAGCGTTTTGAATGTAGAGATGTTGAGATGTTGCTCGTCTGCATTCCTCCTGAGCCCCAAAGTGTCGCTGGACCCTGCTTATGCTTGGGCCTCCCTTCCACAGAAGTCGCATGCACACGTGGGCGAGTTGAGGGGGCGAAACCCTGGGCACTCTGAGGATCCAGGGCTCTCACTGCTGGAGGAGTCAGAGCAGGAAGAAGATGAAGATGACGAGCACGGCGGCCACGATGGAGAGGTGGAGGACTGGGAGGCCGAGGACGCAGATTCCGAGGACTCCGAGGATGAGGAGGCTGAGGGGGCCCTGGTGGCGAAGGAAGCTCGAGAACCCGGCGAGGAGCATGATCCTCAGCTGGCATTGCTCGAAACCGACGAGGCCACCAAAGGTGAGAGGAGCGGTTGGGGTCGGAGGAGGCATCGAAGGCGACGCCGACGCAGCCGAAGGAGAAGGCGACGCCGCCGCAGTTGGTGGAACTCAGTGGTCAAAGCAGTGGTCAGTGTGGTCGAGGCCGTGGTGAAGGCCAGACTTGGGATTTAGAGGGTCTCTTTCAGCAGGAAGTTCGCCTAAGTAAAGCGGGATGCCAAAACGGCTGAGAAGAAAAGGTGCAAGGCATGCTGCCTGTGACTTCATGAAGTTTAAGGTTGTTGGGGTATCGGCTGATATTGCCATGGCATGCCCAGGCGGTGGCAGACTTCATCGCATCGGTCTTCGAGTGCTTCGGCGCCACAAGCCGCTACTCATCTATCGGGTACGGAAAATCCTTCGGGACCAACGCGGGCGGTGGCTTTGGCTTGTCTGCTGGCAGCGGGGAGGACCTCAAGGCCCTTATCAAGGACACGGGCCGATGGGAGAGCGAGCCAGTATGTACTGATATGTATGCATGACAGATATCTTCAAGAGTTCTTTGTCGCTTTAACGCTTCTAGGGTTTAGGGCTAGGGTTTAGGCTTTAGGGTGTCGGGTCTAGGCTATGAAACCTTGGAACTCTTAACGATACTATAGCGATATATGCATAATATCCATATATATATGTATGTATACATATACATATACATATATATATGTTGTGATAAATTTATGCGAGCTGCAGCCGCAGTTGCCCTAGAAAGTGTGTAGAAAGTGTGCAGATGCAGGGTTGCCAGCACTTGGTTCGGCCACAAGTAGCTGTCCTTGGTTGGCAATTTCTGCAGAGCAGATGACTTCTCCTTCTGAACTGCCTAGGACGAGCGGAAACCATCTGCCAGCCTGTGCATCGGCTTCGGGGTCACCGTCGGACCCGGCTCAGGAGGTGCACGAGCTGGGGTTGGTGTCGGTGGCAGCTTCTGCTGTGGGACGGGTGGCTGCAGCATCGGTATCTCTGTGGGGGCTGTGGCGCAAGTCTCCGTCGACGGAATGGGTGCAGAGTGCCCCTTCGGCAAGCATATGGGGCCCCTCAAGTGCTCACGCACGGAAGGCGTGTCACTCATGCTCACTTGTTGTCGCTACAATTTTCAGACTGGCGAGACAACGTGCCGCTAGATGCTAGCAACGATGCTAGCAAGGTAGAGAGGAGGACTGCTGGACCGCTGGCTTTTGGGCACAGCGCCTGTCACTGGTCAGACACAAAATCTGAGCGCGCTCAACTTCATGGTGATTTCTAGTTTGCTCTAAGAGAATGACCTCTCCATCTTGTCCATCCTCATACATATGTTCGTAGGTTTAGGGTTTAAACCCTAAACCCTAAACCCTAAACCCATTGTTATGCGCGGCTTGCTATTGTGAATGCAGGATGTCTTGGATATGCAGGGCAATGCACCTCGCATTGTCTTGTTGCTGACATGTCTTAGTTGTTCTTCGAGGCGGTCCTGTTAGGGCATTGACACCTTATTATGGCTCCGAGGAAAAGCTAGTTTGACACCACCATCACCCACGTACCAGCTCCCAATAACATATATCTGATCATGTCTGATCGCTGGGCGGCTTGGGGGGTCGAAAAAGCAGCCAGGCAGAGGCGGAGATGAGCAAGACGTCCCGAGAGATCGAGCTCAAGCTCCAAAGCACGGGCGAGGCCTTGGCCAGGGACTGCAGGGACTGTTTAGGGTTTTGAGATTAGGGGTTACTATTTGCTTAAGAACCCAAAAAGAATAAGAAGTAATTCTCCCTATATTAACCTTAATACGGAAGAGTCATTTTATTTTTGCTGGGTTCTTAAGCAATTAGTAGGTTCGCGATGTACAGACCTTCGCCTCTTGGTTTTGAAAAAGGCTCCCACAGGGGAAGCGTGTTGAAGAGGGCTCTGTCTCATCTACCACGTAAGCAGCAATGTCGATGAATGACCCTGTTAGAGACTTAGTAACACATGAAGGACGATGCCAAGCAGGTCAGCCAGATACTGTCCCGGAAATTCGAAGCAGAAGCCATGCAAGAGGAGCCCTGTTATCTCACGAGGTGTCAGCGATCGCGTTCCGACATCATTCATCCAAACTTGTGCCCCGTGAATGATGCAGACTCGTTGAAAGCCTTGAGAACATTGCGCAGCATGGTATTGCGCTCGGGTCTTCACAGCCAGACTCGTGTCAGATCACTCAATGTCTCTGCACTGCTGCAGTCCTTGCGGATGCCAGCAATGGTGTGCACGACAGCATGGCCCCCAGAGCTCTTCGAGTCTCAACTAATTCTGGTCTCTGATGCTTTGTCATAGCTCCAGTGCTGTCGATGGTCGAGTGGGTTTTGGTTTTTCATAAAGAGAGAGAGGGCTTCAGGCTACGACGGGCAGAAAAAGCATATGGACTGACCTTCGATACTGCATGGACAAGCGCATCCCCAACTTCAGTCTCAACGAGCTTTAGAGGCACTCAGATGTACTCAGACGATGCACGCCAAATAGGGCAGGCTCGATGTGGAGGCTCATAGAGAGCTTGGGATGAAGGCATCTTACAAAAGGCTTGCGAAGTCCAGCGAGACTAGCGCATGTAACTTGGTTGCTTCATGAACAAGTGATCTGTTTCATCTCTTTTCCTTTTCCGCAGCTGCAGCGCGAATAAACGTCAAAACGGCCTAGCATCCCAAGCCCTCGCAAGAGTTACTGCACAGGTTTGGGACATCAAGTTGCTTTTGGCGGAGAGGCTTGGCATGGATCCAGGCAGGAATCTCAGGCCACTAATTGCATTGCTTAAGAACCCCAAAAGAATAAGACAATAATAATTCCCATATTGCCCTTATAAGGAAGAGTCCTTGTGTTTTTTTGGGGGTCTTAAGCAATTAAGTAGCAGGGTCTGGGTTTAGGGCGGCTTAGGGTTCAAGTTGCCCACTCCTCTGACAAGTTGCCGGCTTCGCCTTTCCACGCACCGTCTGTAGGACACTAGCCCAAAAAAAGAACAGCTGTCGCCCCTCTCACTCGTGTTTCTGCCCCCACGGACCCTTTCTTGCTGCAGGTCAGCTGACGTTTGTCATGAAGCAAGGCATGGCAAGTCATGTGCGGCGGATTCGCGCTTTTTGGAGGTTTCATTATTGTTGTCATGATTACTATGAGTATGGTTATGATTATGACTATGATTTTTATTATTCTTAGTATAGTCAGAAAAAATGATGATGATAACTATTGGAATGTTTTTCAAATTTGCGCGCTTTTTGCACGCGTCTTCTGGCAGCGCCGAGGGGTTGAAGCGACTGAGCCGTTGCAAGCCGATCGCCCCTGTAGGCCCTTTCTGGAGGGAAAACAAAGACTGCGAGGAGATCTACAGCAAGGCACGATGAACCTCTGGTATGATGTGGGCTGGATCTGGGGGCTGAAAATCCTGGACTGGTTTTGTTTCTATGCTGTCTAATGACTCTAGGTATTGGGCCCGCGTTTTTTTTTCTCTAGCCCTGGCCTCTGGCTAAGGGGTTTATCAGCCACAGTTCGTCTCTCTCTTCCATACACGTCACGGCCGTCGGTGAGTCCTGGCGTCAAGCAGTGTCAGATCATCAACCCTCAACCCTCAATCCGGAACCCTAAAGTCCACCACTAACGACAGGGGGAGAGGGGAAGCCCAAAGCCCCAAAAAGCCCTGAGTCCTTCAACCCTAAACCCACCATGAACCACAAGGGGGGAGACGGCGATACCAATCGGGGAGCTGACCCCGAAACCAAGCTTGCCTGGCCCCAGCATCATGCCATCATGATGAGATACAGGCATGACAGATACAAATGCTTCCCGCCTTTGAAGACGATGTTTAACATCCTCAGTTTTGTGGTGTTTGGGGAGGTCCCCAATACACAGCGCTGTGTTTTACAGCCACCAGGGACCAAGTCAAAATGCAGTGCCCGGAGCTGCAAAACACGAGGAAACAAGGGAGCACGCGCATAGGCCAAGGGAGGGGCATCATTCCGAACACCGGAATGTAGAGCCTCCTGGCACGTACGCACGGGGCATACCCATCCAACAACCCAAGAGGCAATAAAGCATGTCCCCTGCCACGTTTTCGCGAAGGAGCGCGATCCCTAAGCATTGGGACCTTTGCCGTGGTAGGGGCTTTTGTGGGGGTTCTCAACCGCTTCTCTGGGGCGAGTATGGCAGGGAAGGGCACCTCAACATAAGCTTTAGGGTCAGTTTCGGCCAGAAGAACCCTGAACCCTGAACTCCAATCAGCAACCAAAAACGAAGCCAACTACAGCCCCTGGCCCAAAATCCTGATCTTAAAAAGTGTTCAACCCGACCTAGACCCTCGATTGTTTGTTTTCTAATTACATTGCAGTACCCGTATGCTGGCTTAGCCTCAACCAGTGTAAGACCACGTGTCATTGCAAAAACCCACAAGAACACTCCACGAGAGCACCAGATCGGGAAACCCGAATTTCCAAAGGTGCGACTTTCGTTTTTCCAGTGCGTTTGCGAGTTGCTGCTTGTGCAGTGATCGTGGCTGTACAGGTATGCGTGTGTGTGTGTGTGCTCTCATGGCGTACTGTCTAGGAGAGTCTAGGAAGACAGAACTTTCCCGGCTTGCAAGATGCTTTTCGACAGCCTGACAGGTGCTTCCACGTTACCCGCAGAATGGTGTTTCAAGTTTGGAGAAAGCTATGCAGCGACAGCTAGGGCGGCAAAAACGCTTCCGGCCGGTCGGGGCGCGTTCTTCGTTTTCCACTGGAGAGGGAAAATGATGGGACAAAAATGCCTCCTAGCGTGTTTTTTTCTGGCTAGCCCTGGCTGTGAGTGGCCAACGCTCAGTGGAAAACGCAGCCACAGATAGGGAAACACAAGCCTCCACACTTAAACATGTGGGCCATAAACCCTAAACCCTACAGCCTAAACCCTAAACCTAAACCCTAAACCCTAAACCCTAAACCCTAAACCCTAAACCCTAAACCCTAAACCCGATTGTAACATGTTCCCGCAGAAGGAAGCCTAAGTTAGGGAAGCTAGCAGTTGGGTATCCGGGCTTCCAGTCTCAGGTCCTGGTGAAGGGCCTGAAGTCTTGGGAACGTCGAGCTCTCAGTTGTAAACCCGTGTAGGGTTTAGGGTTTAGGGTTTAGGGTTTAGGGTTTAGGGTTTAGGGTTTGGGGTTTGGGGTTTGGGGTTTGGGGTTTGGGGTTTGGGGTTTGGGGTTTGGGGTTTGGGGTTTGGGGTTTGGGGTTTAGGGTTTCGGGTTTAGGGTTTAGGGTTTAGGGTTTAGGGTTTAGGGTACCTACGACAATACCCCTACCTACCTCTGCGGCGAACCTGAGGCGAAAAGATGAAGCATGAGCACCCCTTCGCACCTTGGACCTTGTATTATCTTTCGCAGATTTCACGCAGCGGTGCATTTTGATATGGCGGATTTTCCTGTGGGACCCCTGTAGTCGCATTGAGAGGTCATTATTGGCGCTGGTCATATCGGCCTGCGTCAGGCAAGGCTAGGAATCCGGAAGATCCTCAGAAGTCCCCAGCTCCCACCTCCCCACCCAGGCCCCTCTGCTCTTGGCATGTCGCGGCATGTCATGTCGCCAGTGGGCTCACGTCGGAAGAGAGTATATTATGAGTGAAGGCGCATGAAGCCACAATGGTCAAGAAGTCAGGTGGTGTTGATTTTCCATTGCTCCTTGGCTTGCCATCTTGGAGATGCTGAGAGCCGCGCCAGGCCATGGTCTTCTTGAAGTACAATGAGTGCGCCCAAGCAGCGCCTCACCATGCAGGGTCTTGTCTACGCATGTCTGAGTATAGGCCTTGGCTGGCCACCGGCTCTTGTGATTGCGGTATTTCTTACCTGTAGTAACCTCCATCTGCGTAATCCTTGCAGAGTTTTCTGGAGCTGGAATCATCTGGAATCCGGACTCAACAACAGCGGTAGTGTGTCCGTCCGGCAGGTCCAACTTCGTGATTTTCGATCGGAAGCCGAAGGCTCGCTGTGGCTCATACAGGGTGTTATCGGATGCTTAGGGGAGGGGGGTTCGCGGGGGGCAGGTGCCTCAGGAACCTTGGGGAAGCTTCGGTGGTGGGGAGTACTAGGGAACCTTGGGTTACTTGCTGCCCTTGCTCCCAGCAGGGGTGGACTTAGGGCAGGACTCAAGGTCTCCGTGGTACG